AAGTTGCTCCGAGCGTCGGTGCTTGGAAATCAACTCTGGTAAAAGTGCAACAATGCACGTCGGTCGTAGTAATTGCTTCTGGTATTCCATTAAAGTTACAACCCTGCCCATAGTCTCTGAACTAAGACTTACGTGCTATAATAAGTCATGATTCGAAAACCCCGGTCTACTGTAATGTGGCTACAGCAAGGGGCTACGGTGTGTTGTGGTGCATTTGGGGAGCTTTCAAAGGTTTTGACAAGTTTTGTTCAGAATGCTTTATTCCACTTGTGTTACACCTCACTCGGAATGCTGCTTACGTGCGACCAGCGCATACCTTAAAACGAACATGTGTATACTTATTGCTGAATATATAGGCATACACCACTTTTATAGGTGCGAATATATTTACATGAAAATTACATGTTGCTTAAGGGCAAGTAATTTTAATTACTGCAATGTCTGCACTGTATGACAACAAAATGTAGGGCGTCAACAGAACAATATCCATAGAGTGGCGCTATGGAAAATCGGAAGTATTGCATTCGCATTAGCTGAGAGCCAGGATTTACACCTGAGTATTACAAGGATCGCCTGGGGGGAAAAATAAATCTCTCAAAGTTTCATTTAGTCGTTTGGTGGTGAAACTTCAAACGTTCCCCACCGTAATGTGATAGTAGCTGGGTGCAGTTGCATTTTTAGCTTGCTTATTCGAATGACTCCGTGGGCCCAAACTATCCCCACACAATAGAAGTCCCATGTTTCGTTCCAGTCCATCTCAGTACCCAACTGTAGTTTCGCATGCTATCTATAGATGGCCAAAATTTTATTGAATACCCACATATTTTCCGCTTCATTTATACTCAACATACGATATACAATGTGCTTTTAGCAATTATGTGACTCACCATTCCCAGGACATTGCTCATAGTAAATCATTGTACCCGTGTTAATTTTCGCTCCCGTTGTGCACCCTAATTGCTCTTGAACAATGTTTATGACCAGCAATATCCAAACAATTACATACTCAAGAAGACTGCGCATGGCCGGATGACTTAGTCTTTTTAAACTTTCTCAGGTTAACCGGGAAAAATAACATTCAGACATTGCCCTTAAAAACAGCATATGTTCGTATAACTCGTTATTCGAAGTATGTGATTATGTTGTCATTATTAAAGCACGAAGTTGATACTTCAGTTGTTATACTTCCCATATTTTGCCTTGTATCAGGGATGAAAAGCTTGCGCACGAGTTTAAGTATATGTTTCGTTGCCTGCCACTTTTCAATGAATTCAGAACTATGGACCCCATTCATTCTTGTGCCATTTATCGTCAGAGAATGATAATCTTACTGAATAGTACGACTAAAAGTCAAATATCTGCTTTTCTCAACTCAAGAACACAAAAATGTGGTAGGCTTGTGTGAGTGTAGAAGGTGGATATCCAGAAACTTTTGTCTGCCATTTTCCTTATGTCCAAAACAACCATGTGGTTAATAAGTATGACAGGTGCCTGTTCACTTTCATAAACAACCGAGGTTCATGTAGTTATAAAGTTGTAGTTCGGAAAACATTATTTGTTTTCCCATATTCCGCTTCACTGTTGTGAATGGAGTAACAATATTCGACAACAGATGGTTTCAGCACAGGTTTTTTCATACTACAGTTTGACTTCATTTACAATCAAGACAACTTTCAAAACTGAAGGGCTTGCCTGCAACAAAAGCAGGCAGACAAGAGAAGGCAGGAGTCAGACAAGCGATCTGTTTTCTATATATACTGTGCCATTAGTTTTATGTGCTTTGTCTATGTAATGGTGAAGAACCTATTTCTCATGTTATTCGCCAGTTTATGACCTCATTCTATGTTTTTATTGTGGGAAGATGCAGCTGAACTTTGTCAAGTACGGTGTGCTCAACTATGAGAGTTTCCCAGGTGTTACAGGTTAAAGTTCAAAGTGGGCGAAGTAGAAGTCTTATTCAGAAGTTAAGTGGGTCTATTATTATTGGTGTCATACAGGTTAGTGAGTTTCATAAGACAGTTGCTTGGCTTCTCTGAGGCGAAAGTCACGGACTATGTGACCCACTAAGGTGCTAGATAATAGTTGGATGCAGTTCGATGTCCACCGAAGGGGCGCCGAAGTATGTCCAGCCGCGTTTGCCTACACTGAAATGAAGTCTCCAAGCAGTAGACCATGTGGAAATTATATCAAGTTCCCTTTATACTAACACTTGGACGTAGGGTTAATTCGCGTAAGAGAGTGCGTATGCGACTTTCAGGCCATTAATAAACAAGAGCTGTTAAGCGTATGCAAAGTGCTGCAAATGTCACTGACGTACAAAGTAAAGAGAAGGAGACCCAATACAATGCGGTGAATTGCACTGAGAGTAATTGGTCTGGGTTTCGAAATGCCCGAGTATACCTTCACCGACTTGGCGCGATTATTGAGGAAAGACAATCCATCCTAATGATGGATAGCCAATTCCTAGTGGCTCCCACTTAGTTATTAACAGTTAGCGATCAACTGTATCGAATGTCTTTGAGATGTCTGAATAAAGTACACGTACCAACTTGCACCGGTTTCCGGTGAAAGTTAAAGAAGTCAAAATGACAAGACTGAAGGTTATGGGGGATATCGATTTTAGGAATCCATGTTGACTCAATGTGGTAATGCTGTCATCAAGCATGAGCTGAAGAACGCTTTCCTTAATGACTTCCTCCATAATTCTGGATACTACGGGCGCACTATTTGTTGGTTTGCAGCCACTGGCAATGTTTTTGAATCAGATTTATATCCAGGTAGGGTAAATGATGTTCCACAGGTACCAGGGTACTTTAAAGATTCCAAAGAAAGAGAAAATATTTTAGGTGATAATGGTGAAGCATGAGGACCACTGTATTTGAAGAAATGTGACGATACTGCGTCTGCGCCAAAACTCCTGGGGTATTTTAGGGTCTTAGTGGCTTAGTTAACATTATAATATGTGACTTCACCCGTACACATCGGCTTTAGCGGTGGGGAAGAATAGTTTTTTATGGTGCAGACCGTGTTAGCATTACAGGAAAGATTTGTAGGTCCCAGACAACTAACTGCGAATAAGTCGCTTAATATTACACACCAACCTATTGAAGAATTGTAAGCTCTGATGTCATGGAAAGGAGAGGAATGTTATATCTTGTGCAATAAGACCACTTGTTAGGGGTGCCGAGATATCATATAGTCTAGATGAGCTAACTAGCGCACATTTTTCTTCACTCTTCATACGCACATCGTGGTTATGTGAGGTAGAGTTAAGGTCACCAAGAATCAGCCGAAGCCCATCAAGGTCATGATGTCGGTAGTATCTCATCGAGAGTTTTCATGACTTTCTGCGGGCACTGGGAGGTGTACATGGCCTATTGTCTGGAGGCGTTTTTTGAAACCTTTCAATGAAACAACCGCATCGAGACACGTTTTGGAGTTCCGGTAAAATATATCAGGGGCTAACTTGAGGTCTGCAGTGGTGAAGTATGATCCGTAGCTGGCGCATCTAATCGGTGAACATATCAGCTCCCAGTCCTCCCTACCGCAGTCTCTATATACCATTTGTCGTTGTATGGAACCCTCAACTTAAGTGCTAGTTGAAGGAGGCGGTAATGCGCATATTACCGTTTTGTGATCACTTCCTGGAAACTTGGAGCCTACATCTGATGGGAAAGGAATTATGTTGTAGCAAACTATTAAGTCCAGTACGTTTCCACCTCATGTAGGGGTAGCAGCAGTTTGTTTCCATCTAAAAACAGCCAGTATCTAGGACAAAGTTGTCACACCTAGTTGGATCAATAAGTGAATCCCACTTAATTTGAGGTAGGTTAAAGTCACTGCACACGATCTTGTGATTACGTGGGAGAGTAGATGCATATTCTAGAACCGTAATCAGTGGGATCTCGTGATTAGTAAAGGTGCCAGGCGCTCTGTGCAGATAGGTCATGGTAATTTACATGACCACACGAGTAATGATGTAAGCTTATCCAAGGTTTCCAAGTATAAGGATTTAGCAGTCGATGCAAGGTACATACCTAGAGCCCTGACGAACCTCAGAGCATCAGCTGTAATCGCAATCCGATTCTTACTATCCCTTCTTGTGGCTTATTGGTGCGTTGATGTGGATATTCGGATGGTGCATGCGACATGCATCAGGCCCCATTTGGAGTATGTGGTGCGGGCAGTGTGCCCATACTGCAAACGTGGGGAGGCTATTTTGCGGCGAGCCAAAGGAATAGGCACTAAACTGGCCGGTGACTTCTCTGTTTTCCCTTAGGTGGGATGACTAGATCACCCTTATATATCCCTACTATTCAAACGGAGATTGAGGAAGAACCCTGTACCAGCCTACCAAATTCTAACCACTGGATTCAATCCTAAGCCATCAGGTTAACTTCTTACTCTACAGATAATCACGTGAGAGGAAACCATAGAAGATCCCTGACACCACCACCGGGCTGTTGACATCTAGAGTTATAAATCGGTGGAATTATCCGCTGCGGTTAGTTACTTCTGTACTTTCTATGAGCACCTTAAAGGCAAAACTGGATCTTTGCATTACTCAGCGTCACAAAAGACCACTCGGTTTCCTACCCTTAGTTCCGAAGACTGAAGCGAAAGCATCTTTGATTCTGTTACTAACCATCTGAAACCATTTGTGAATATTACGAACAAAAAAAATTGTCTAAGAAGATGGATTCGAAACCTGAAAAAGAGCCGTTCCGTTCGTCTACAACACGAAGTTTGAAGCAGTATAGAGATGAAACAGAAGCAACACTGAAAATTAGCTGTTTGTTGTGAGTTTCTCCCATAGTGTGGTCAGTGACTAATACTTCTTTCTTCATCATGTAGTATCATCATCTTCAGTCAATGCCTTCAATAAGAAACAAGATCTTGATCGAGATATATTCTGCAAGGACTAACACATTCCAACTTGCATACTATCCTCTTTATTGAAACTGAACTGAATTGTGCAGTGTGGCTTAGGCGCCATGCTCAATATTGGAGGGCGGCTTGTTTAGGTTCTTACGTGTATTTAGTCGTGGGAATATTTCCTAGGTAAGTACGTCGTGCCCATAAATCCTCTGGTCAGTTAGGTGGAATAATTTTGCATTTCTTTCAAGTGTCGTAGTCAACAGTCGAAGGGTATTTTCATGTAAATTATGAGAATAACGGTCAATTGACCGTTATTCTCATAAACTATTATTGTCACTCCACCACTGTAGTCACCGATCTGTTCTGTTGCAACACAGATTTTCACCACGAATTTTCGGGTATTTATTCCGTCTAAAGCCGAATATATTCGATGTTTACAAATGCTGACCATGCAGGTTACAAGGTGAATATGAAATTTTCCACTTAGTTGAATTGTCTTAAGATGAAAAATAGGGTATAAAACTCACTGAACTACTGGAAATTCTGAATAACACGATAGGCTAGGCTGAGAACTGGTTTAGTCGTCGAACTAAGCGTAGTTTCTGTTTTCCTAGTCATTTCACGGCTTGTTTATAGCTAGTAATTTTTATCCGAAAAGCAATGTGTAGTCACAAAACATTATGAATGCAGTTTGGTAGTTACCATGGGTCGTTCAGTAAATCGACTTTGTCTATTCAACTCTGTTAGTTCATGGACCTGCTCACTGTCAGCTGTTTATTCGATGGTGGCTTGCTCTTACAGATTTACACTTGCACAAATGTGGAAGTACCTGTTTATAAATTGTTGATAAAACCTCAGTGTGACTATCCACACCACCTGTACCGTTTCATCACCCAATTAACGATGAACAGCCAAACGGTAGCTGTTATTCTGACGTGAATGGGATTGTGTATTAAAATGATCCAACGAATGACAGACTAAAACACCTTTACCCTCGAGTTCATACCACAACAGAAAGGTCAGTTAGCTAGTGGTAATACAAAAAGCGGTTACCGTCAGAATGTATATTGCTACACTATGATGGGGGAGGGGGGGTCGGAGGGTAATGTCGGACCAGTTGCTGGCTGGGGTTGTGATGTAAGATGTTTCTCACGGATGGCTAGCAGTACCATGCTGACACTGCTTTCCTCATGAGAATGGAGCGTACCGAATGTTGGCCCTGAAAATAACAAGCCTCCTATCCCCAGACATAGACAAAATCAACGTAGAACCTCCCATACAAGTGCATCGGTTCAAGCTGCCACACTTCATAGTGGTATATAAAGAACAGGCGGGTATAAAAGAAGTGGTGTCAAAAGAGTCAAAATTGTATGAGGAAATAAACAATTTAAAGGCAACGGTTAGTGCAAATTTTCAAGCTTCAAAAAACGTTAATTAATGAGTACATCTGAGTCGTTATGGCCGATTTTCATCCATTTCACTGAGATTCCTCAACCAATGATTCCTTTTGTCTCCCGGACCCCAATCAGGCAGTCTGTACTTCCCTGCATCGTTCAACTAACAGTCAGGGACTTTATGGACCAGTGCCGGGTCTTGGTCTAGCTACCCTGAACCCACATCTAACCTAATCCAGATTCCCCTATCATTGCATGTCGAGGTAGGTGGTTATTCGGGATGTGCAAGACACGTCCAAGCCAACTCAGTCGACTAAGGTTCATAACCTCATCAATCGACTTACTTGTTTTACCTCGTACTCCTCGCCTGACTCAACATTACTCACATGGTTCTGCTAAACGCGAGCAACGCTACGAAGAGACGTGTGATCGAAAACCTGTAACTGCTTCATGTCTACTAATTTTAACGGCTGTGTCTCAGTTGCACAAAAAGAAATAGCGAACTTACGCGCTTCATACACGTCCTTTGATAGATAACAGATGACACAAGTCGGCAGACACCAAACGGGTCTACTGTATCCGAGGTGAGATTTCGTGAGCGGCCAGCTCCTTAGACCCGGCCATCGATTTCATAACAGAGCGTTCGACATCCAAACTCTATGCCAAGTTAGACCGCAGGCATCGCTCGTCAGAACCCTGGAATCGGCATGCCGATAGCTGCGATATCAGTTCATAGCCAAACTCAGTACTCGAATTTAAATCTTAGAAGTCTAGAAAAGTAGCATGTGATCGGGCTCAAGCAGATGTCCCATGCACTGCGCGGCCAAGCACTAGCTTTTCATTTCCAGGGACATTAGGAGGAAATAGCCTTCCACAATTTGACCAGCTGGAAAGCGTCAACCGACTCCACACTTTATTATTATTTGTCCCTTGGGTTCCTGGTGAAACATGGGGCTTCAGTAGCACGTCGCCATTTCACTCCGTCCTCTGCAGTCTTTTCTTCCAACCTGCCTCCACGACTGCCCACAAGCTTTCATTTCCTCCTCACATGATCTCCCCCATGTCACTCTCGCCTCGGATACCGAACTGGTTGTTTCCCCTTTGGATTCCACTCGATGGCCTGGCCTGACGCGTGGTGTCCTGAAATGTTTTTCTCAGTGCATGCCCAATCCAATCCATCTCCTCTTTCTTGTGGATATTTGTTTGACGATGGGCTCCTGATTGGTTCGTTGCCAGCGTCAGAGTTCCTTGCTGCTTATTCTTATTATTCTGGCCATATGGTCTTGAGTGTTGAGCGTAGGCAGCTGTTGATGTATGTTTGCAGTTTGTTGGAAATGCTTTTCGTAACGCGCAAAGTTTCTGAACCATCACATAGAAGCATTGACTTGACTTACTTGTTGTTGAGAATCCGAATCTTGTTCCCGCTTTATGCTGAGTGCAGTGCGGTGCGGTAGATCTCTACAGTGATTTCAGGTTAATGCAGGCGTGTCTTAGTGTGTTTCCGATTCTGGCTTTGACGTCCTGTCTAACATCCAATCTGAACCTGAGTGGGACGTATATGTCAGTCCTCCAACTCTCCTTGGGAAGGCTGTATCGAACACAAAACGATGTGAAACAGCAGGACCTGATAGTTTGCCACTTAAAATTTCCATAGACGGGAGTAAAAATTGCTGATTAACGTGACGAAGATACTAGGTAGTGTATAGGAATCAGAGGCAGTGGCATCAGACCAGTGTACTGATCATCCTAGTCCAAAGTAGGGATAAGTCTTCCTGTGACAACCATAGTGCAATTAGTTTGACTAATATTGTATCCAGCATCCTACGGTTCACAGTTATCCAACACCTAACCGAAGTTTGAGAACAGAAAACTGGAAAAACCAGGCAGGTTTGAGACAGACCTGGACGATGGTGCGTCGATCATATTTTCACCTTACGATAGGTTCTGGAACACGGATGACCGACCTATCAAATTTGTTGACCTGGAAGGTGGCGTTTGACTTAGTCGGCCGTAAGGTGTTGTGAGAGCGTCTGACTGTGAAGGGAGTACCAAGGAAGCATATAATGCTTACCAAAGCTCTAGGCTCAAACTCACTCAGCCGTGTATGGGTGTATGTCAAGTTATGATTAGAATTAATGGTAACTCGTGGTGTCCTCCAGGGATGCCCATTGTTCCTGTGTAGTTTCTTTATAGACGTACTAATGGACATAAGCTTGGGAACCTGTGATTTCATCGGGCTTGATCTACTTCCTGAAGGACATATGGTCGACTCGGAGCGCAGAGATGCTGACAAAATGCAGGGTCATCTAAATGCGTTGAGCAGAAGCCTGAGTATATTTGGCATGCCTTTCGCATCTGTCATATGTAAGATGATGCTCTAGGACTGGTCTGCATCTACTTTCAGTTAAATAATAAGGAGGGAAGTTGCTAAATGTATCGACTACTTGCATCAGCCCAAGTATATTGGGCCGATGCACTACCGTATGGGGTTACACGTTGATTTTATCTGTTTGTCTCAGCCCGAGCGGGCTGGTTATTGAAATGTCAGCTTCGATAAAGGTCTGTCGATTTATGTTTTCTCTGACGCCGATTAGCAAAATGTTTTACTATCTATCAAAGGAAGCGAATGTTGCGCTGCATTGCACTCTGTCTTTTTATAGGACTCTGAAATGTAGTCGTTGAAAAATGTGGAGAGATAACAGATTCTCGAACACAGGTTTCTTAGCAGCATTGGACGGGAATGTTAGCATCACCGTGTTGTATGGAGATTATGCGTATACGAAGAATACTAGACAAGTCAGTTGATTAGGTTGTAGACCCTCAGCCACTGAGGTGGCTTGTTGATGTCTTTAGACGCTAGGAGTCGATTAACGGGAAGCTCTGAATCCAGGTTTCATGCTTGTTGACACCTGTTCTTTGCCTGCTGATATGAAGTGTAGCAACTCGGTCCGGTGCATCTCTGTGCAAGTTCCTACATTGATTTGTCTTTCCACTTTACATCAGCTATACACTTCATCATCCACCTCAGATCAACAGCTAGAAACTAGATTTAAATGACTTTCTGAACTAACAATATCTAATAAGAAGTGCGGACACTTAATACAAGAATACTGGTATATACAAGTAAAATCTACTGTTAAAATATGCTACTGTCATGGTGGAATCCACTGTAATGCAGTTACATTTCAAATATCTATTATTAGCATCACTTGCAGTGCATTTATTCGGGATTATATTTCATTTCATTTGTTTTTTTTTCATAATGTTTACTGAGGTAGCAATAAATTATCTACTTTGGTTATTTCATTTGTAGGTCACTTTTAATCCTTCACTTTAATGATCTAAAGATTATTAACGTATGGATGGTGATTTTAACTAAACTACTACTATTCAATTGATTTTATAACCTTTCAAGTGATCCAATGTCATCTACTGCATCCGTTGTCCCAAATGTTTCGTATCATTTACCCAAACCTGTTACACAAAATTTCCAGCACTTTGATTGTAACTCTAGTGGATCAGGATTGGAATTCAATCACCAATCATCTTCAAATGGTGATTATGCTTCGAAAACAAGTTTCATGAAAGCGGAATCATCTATATGTGCGTCAAAGCTAGTTTCTTATAATATAGATGCAGCTTTACGTTTGTCCTTGAAGTCATCCTCAGTTCCATCAAATGATCATTTACCCACTTCCACTGAGAAATTATCTCAGCGACCAATATTTTTTCATGAATCATCAGCTCCTCCTCTCGATGCTATAATCAAGCAAAAAATCCAAAATTTACCTGGATCCTTAATTTTAACCGACTCAAAGGAAAGTAAACCGGTGGAGAAAAGTATGTTTTTTGTCGCCTAAATATTGATTTAATTGTTAAGGCTTTAACACTTCATTTTGAACCACTCAGGTGTAGTTTTGATACCTGACTCTTAAGCTTTCCGAAATGGCATTCTTGAATGTCTATATGACAGGTAATATAATGTTTTCTACGAATCCTCCGACAAAGTACTGTAAGAAATTGTAATCTAAGAAAAAATAAGTTTCTACCTCATTGGGATTTTACAAGAATAATTCCCTTGTGATCCATTTTGCCCAATGCTCAACTCTATCAGGTCAAATTTTGATCCTGAAGTTTATAAAAAGATCAAAACATAGATTTAATAGCGATAACTTCATTTATGTTTTTCTCTTGTATGACGGCACGTAAGTACTTGAAATCCTAAATAGTTTGTATAAGGTTGGCTTTTGAAGCTTCGGCTAAGGTGTTGCAATGGATAAAGTAGCTATCCGGCAGCAACTGCTCTTCATTGTTTTTAAACTGCCAAAATAGTGTTTGGATTGCACGTTAGCTGTTCTGTGGTTGTAATACACATGATTATTGGATAAACACGTGATAACTGTGTATAGTTTTCCGAAGCGTGAAGTTATAAACACTTTCCTACAAGTGGAATAGGAATATCCTGATTCAGAATGTCAGTTTATAAGTCACTGTATTTCATACTCCTATGACGATAGTCACTCTATGACTCACTGGCAGTAGATATTAATTCAGTAATTCGGTTGAATGCTGAATGTCTTGTCTCCTATGCCGAACAGGTATAGCTATTTATCTCCATTATACATAATAATGATGTTTTAAACCTACATCGCTCATTCAATCATCTGTTCGTCCGCTTCGATATGAGTATAGGTTTGAGTACCAGGCTGTGAGCAGCAACACCTAATATGTGAGTCCTGATATCACTAATAAATTGCCTGATCCCAGTAGACTGGATAGGATTCAAGCTCGTGACCAAATGTTAAAGATGTCTAAAGTAATGAAACCATCAAGTCACTATTGGATAAGCGATGCTTGTCTCATTTTGGTGACCTCAAGGTGTCACTCTACGAAGTCACTGAAGAAAATTACTAAAGGAGGAACCTATTCAAACGAACGATGGACTCGATTTTTTTCAAAAATATTTACCTTCTAAGATGATATGATTTATCGTACTAAGTCCATTTTATTTATCTTACCCTAGTGTATTTATCAAGGAGGAAGTTAGTGGATAGTAGGGAAATAAATATTCTAATTAAGGTATTGTGTGTAACCTTTCGCTCTTTACCTTGATGATCTATAATTGTTCCTTAGTTATATAGGTACTGGGTTTTCAACCAGTAGATCACAGATTCAGACGCCAGTCTAACTATTGAGGTTTCATCAACAGTATTGAGCTATTCCAAAAACTTATACTTGCTTTTCAGATTGAATAATTTTATTGTTTCTTGTCTTTCGTTTCATTTGTTTGACTCAGATTTCCCTGAAACTAAGCTCCTCTGTTCTGATGAGGAACTTGACCATTTATGCCGCTCCGGTGCTCAGTGTATCCCAAAAAGAGCTTTAGGATTTGGAAATTCTGGCAACACATGTTACCTTAATTCTGTGCTTCAGTGTATTCTGGCCACTGGTCCTTTACTGGCCTACGTCAACTGTAAGCATGCAAATTCTAGCAACTGTGTGATTACTAATGGTCGATCCAATCTTCCAAACTTGAACAAATCTCGTTTTTGTGTTTTATGTGGCCTGGCTCGACTTATAAACGAACATCGTTCACAGACTGGACATACGGTCCCTTCATACTTTGTAACAAACGTTCGGGGTAAGTAAATCGCCTAATATTATACGTGTAAAAAGGAAGTAACTTGGTTTTTTCTCATAGCAAATAGCTTAATATGGTAAAACCGAAGATTGTATATACCATAATGACAACTACATAACTTTTATTGTATTAAATACTTGCTGCTTGGCTTGTTCCGATGGTTTTGTCGATCTGTGACATTCGTTTTTCCGCGATGAGAGCTTTCTGCATCTGTCTAGACATCTTCCCCAGTACTGATTCACTGTAGCTCAGTGGTTTAGGGAGACGACTACCGTCACTGAGTCACGGGTTTGATCCCCGCTCCACCTACCGAGGTTCGGGCACCCAGATAGTATCACTAGCCCTTACATAATACGTGTGGCTCACTGGCGTACTGCACGAACGTGCGCAACGTGGCTAAATGCAGTTCGTTCGCGGATTTGCTGTTAGACTGACGTTGAAAGCTTTACCCAAAAAAAACTAAAAAGACAATAATATTTACTTTTATGGTACTACCCTATATTATCACATGGTATGTGTATGTAATTGGAATACGTTTTTGTTTATTCTCCTCTTTTATAGCCGTTTGTCCTAGTCTTCGTCCCTATCAACAGGAGGATGCACACGAGTTTTTACTTGGACTTTTATCTCGGATGGAAGATAGTGCTATGGCAGGTTTGGGAAAAGTGCCTAGGAAAATGTCTGAGACGAATGTTATTCGAAGAATTTTTGGGGGCGTTATGCGCTCAGAAGGTGAGTAGTGTCTTTGACATTTTTCTAATGATAAATATTATTATTATTTGTCCCTTGGGTTCCTGGTGAAACATAGGGCTTCAGTAGCACGTCGCCATTTCACTCCGTCCTCTGCAGTCTTTTCTTCCAACCTGCCTCCACGACTGCCCACAAGCTTTCATTTCCTCCTCACACGATCTCCCCATGTCACTCTCGCCTCGGATACCGAACTCGTTGTTTCCCCTTTGGATTCCACTCGATGGCCTGGCCTGACGCGTGGTGTCCTGAAATGTTTTTCTCAGTGCATGCCCAATCCAATCCATCTCCTCTTTCTTGTGGATATTTGTTTGACGATGGGCTCCTGACTGGTTCGTTGCCAGCGTCAGAGTTCCTTGCTGCTTATTCTTATTATTCTGACCATATGGTCTTGAGTGTTGAGCGTAGGCAGCTGTTGATGTATGTTTGCAGTTTGTTGGAAATGCTTTTCGTAACGCGCAAAGTTTCTGAACCATCACCTAGAAGCATTGACTTGACTTACTTGTTGTTAAGAATCCGAATCTTGTTCCCGCCTTATGCTGTGTGCAGTGCGGTGCGGTAGATCTCTACAGTGATTTCAGGTTAATGCAGGCGTGTCTTAGTGTGTTTCCGATTCTGGCTTTGACGTCCTCATTGTGGCTGTGCCACCTGTAGTTGAAACGATACTGCCTACCTAAGTAGGTGAAAGAGACTACCTCATTTAGGTTTGTCTCGTTTATGGTGATTGATGCTTGTTGTTCGTCGGGTATGTTCATCACCTCCACCTCTGTCTTCTCTATGTTCACTTGAAAGAAGTCCTGTCTTCGCTGCCTCACCTCTTCTGTGAACTTGTTGATTTTTGTCTATAGATCTTCAAGTTTGTGCGACAAGACATTAGATATAATTCATTGGGGAAATCTAAATTTTCTAGGGTCTTTTCATTGGTTCAGCCAGCGTATGTCCCTTTTCTTGCTCTGATACGTAGTATACTTGTATGAAACAGCCAAGAATTATTTATATAAACGTAAATATATTATGCTTTTGTCCCTTGTTTTGAAGTTCACTTTATTAGTTGCAAAGTATGGTAAAAGTTATATACTAATTAGTGTGCATTGAGTCTTGTTAGCTAAAATACACTATCTATGGTGCCATGAGGATAAACCACAGTTCTGCACCGTGTATCTAATGGCCGTTAAGTTTAACTGTGATAGTCAGGTATATAAAACCGTCGTAAGTTTACAATCATTATGGTTAGTGCTGATGTATATGACTTTTCTATGGTATGGTGCACATGTGTTAGTTTAGAGAGGCGAGAATTCAGTTTTGGGTAAGATATGTAGGTCAGTTGAGTAATTCGCAAACCTTCATCTTCTGAAATGGTTGAAGGATGTGTTGAGTATACCTCTTTTTATTATATGACTTTTTATCATTTCTGATTGTTATTGCTACTTCTTTCCTCGTTGTTTTTGCATCTTGATATAGAGTGTAGCATAGTGATGTAAAGTGCTGTATTGATATTGATTAACTGCCTGGAAACAAAACTTCATCACAGAATTCTCTTACATTGTAGTACCCGTTTATTCATCGACTAGTCGAATTTTCTGCAAAATTAAATAATTTCTTGACCGATGGATTCTTCTGTCTACTTGAAACGACTACTTATAGTCACTTACTTGATAGTGACTATCAGTAAGGTTCAGGATATGTGTCCTATCCCGTTTACAAATACGCATTTAAGTGTACTCACACTCCAGTGTAATGGTTGCCTGCTAAGGTCTGCTACACTTAAGCTACAATGTTAGAGCATCATGCACTAGGCTACTCAATCATGAAGGTCATAGGTGGAACAAATACCACCCGTTATTTGTTGTACATTTCGTGGAATTGAATTGATCGATTATTTTTTTTTGGCATATGAACTTCTTTGATGAATTTTTCGATATTACTTCAGTTTTAAAGGTACTCATCTGTCGACTGATACTAATCAGTTTTGCTGTGGTAGATTAAACCATGAAAAGTTGATCGAATAAAGAGATAGTGATGATTATTTTACAACAAACTACTTATTGTGATTGGTATTGTCGCTGATCTCATAATACGACTGTCTGTTCTTATCTTTCAGTTACATGTCATTCTTGTCACAAAGTTTCAGCACGAGATGAACAATGGTTTAATTTATCTATGGATATTACATGCGCGCGAAGTTTACAGGTGAGGCATTTGTTTTCCCTCAGTGTTTTCCTTATTATTTTTTTAATGGTGACAAGATTTTATCCATAATTTATCTTTGTGCTTAAAAAGTGTCCTTAACGCGATGATAGTTAACACTTCTCATCGGCGAATCATGTATTATTATTATTTGTCTTTTGGATTCCTAGTGAAACATAAGGCTTCAGTAGGACGTCTCCATTTCACTCTCCTCTCTGCGGTCTTTTCTTTTAATCTGGTTCCACGACTGCCGACAAGCTTTCATTTCTTCCTCACACCATCTCCTCCATATTCATATGAATATGGACAATAAATTGTGTCCGAAACGTTATCGAGTAAATATTACTGTGTGATATTTATGATAAACAGACTAAAGTATTGACTCTCCAGCTAACAGTTTAGTGAGTCCACTTCCATTCCATCTGCTTTCGCAGATTCCTAGCACATCTATGCCATATGGGCAGCCTTGCTCGGTTCAAACATGGTGCGGACATTCCATATCCCTATGTTTACTTTCGCTTTCATCTATAGAAGACAAACCAGCCAGAGTTGGCTTCCTGAAGGCTTTCACCAAGCGACGTCATTCCGTCTCCTCGATTCCAGCAAGGAATAGGTTCACTTTTATTTTTGATATTTTCTTTGTGCTTTGAAGTTTTTTCAGCGATTGGGTTGGTGTTACGGAATAGTTTTGCTAGCCGTATGCCCAACCTTCCCTCTTTATCCGGGCATAGGACCGTTTAGTAACTAGTAAACTAGTTAACTAGGCAAGTTATTTGTTCTAATATACTACGCGGGAATTATACAAGTAAAAATACACATGACGAATCACACTAACTCAGTGCCCAAATTTTTTCAAACCATTCTATCCATTAATGTACGAAAAAACTTGTGCATGTCACACAGTGAATTTATAATTTACTAGATGACGTTCCAAGTAGAACTCATTACTCATATTCGTATCAAGGTATTCATATGACCTTCAAACTTCATCCATATACTCCAACAGTTCATTCACCTATTTTAATGGTAGTAACATTTTCCATATATCTATCTATAACATGCCATAATGAATCATTCCTCTTACATCTGTGATTATTCTCTCCCTCCACATAGTCAGCCAGCTACAGTCAACTACATTGGACTTTAGAATTGTCACCCCTATCCCATCCACCCTATCGATCAGTACATGCACAACAATAACCAATTCCTCTCTAAATTACTTATCTTATCCTTAAACTTGTGTGTCCTACTATTCTAATTCACCCAGATCAGCTGCTTCCACCAATTTACTTGACCTCACATTACTCATTACATACTCTATTCAATAGATAAGGTTATTTTCCTAAATTGGCTCTATTGCATATTTTAGCCTCATACAAAGTTCCACTCTGAGTGAGTTTGTCAGTTTAAATGCCACTCTAATCCCAACACTGTTAAGAATTCTACGTAAAGCTGTCGATTTACCTTCTCTATACGGTGACACTACATAAGATTTGAATTCCCTCTTACTCATGTTGCTGCAATCACCACCAACATTACCACTCCTTCTCTCATTCCTCACAAAGAAGAATAAAGAAACAAATGAGACACTATCAGTGATCAATCGAACAAAGTGAATGATCAATCTGTCAAGTAGAGAATTAATCTCGATTAAAGTAAAAAGTCTCAGGAAAGAACTAAACACCAACGTAACAGTAGCTCAACTCAAATCTGAAGAAGTGGCATTAAGCTCAATAGATACGTGCTCAATGTGCACAAACAGTAAAACACCATAAGAAACGGAGGAAGAACTTAACGAGGCCAAAAATATTAATGCTGGAAAAACTAGTTGTCAAATCTAACAAAGGCAATTCAATAATACTTATGGATAAGGCAAATTAACTGGAAAAAAAGTCAATGAGCATATTGAAACTGGACCATATGAAGAAATAAAAAAAAACCTGGAGACAGTTCTGAATAAAAAATTTTTAAGTTCACACATAGTTTAATACACCGAATGAAATCATTTCTAGGTGAGTCTCACTGGTTTACTTTAATGCCTAAAACTAATAATCCTAATAGAATGTATGGTACAGGTTATCTTACTAAGCTAATAGTTAACTGTAAAAGCATACCAATATATTATTAATATTATTATTAGTCCCTTGGGTTCCTAGTGGAACATAGGGCTTCAGTAGCACGTCTCCAGTGACCTCTGTTCTCTGAGATCTTTTGAACCTGGTTCCACGACAGCCCAGAAGCTCTCATTTCTTCCTCTCACGACCTCCTCCATGTCACCCTCGGACGTCCAACTCGTCGCTTCCCATGGGGATTCCACTCGAGTACCTGGCGCATGACGTCCCCAGTCGGCCTTCTTAGTGTATGCCCAATCCATCTCCACTTCCTCCTGCATATTTGTTGAGTGATAGGTTCTTGGTTGGTTCGTTCCCAGAGTTCCTTGTTGCTGATTCTTTCTGGCAATCCATCTGATCTTCAGCAGCGAGCGTAAGCAGTTGTTGATGAATGTCTGTAGTTTATTGGAAATGCCTTTCGTGACGCGCCAAGTCTCTGAACCATACAGAAGCACTGACTTGACGTTGGTGTTGAAAATCCGGATGTTGTTCACGCTGCATGCTGAGTGCAGCGCAGAAGATCTCCACACTGATTTCAGACTAATGAACGCCTGTCTTGCTTTTCCGATCCTGGCTGACTTTGACATCCTCGTCTGTACCTGTGTTGCCTGTAGTTGAAACAGTGCTTCCTAGATAGGTGAAGGAGGTTACTTCCTTCAAGTTTCTCCCGTTGATGGTGACTGGAGTTTGTTGTTGGTGGTGGTGCGGTATCTTCATCACCTCTGTCTTCTCCATATTCACTTGAAGTCCCGTCTTCGCTGCCTCTTCTGTCAACTTGTTAGTTTTTGCCTGTAGATCTCCAAGTCATCGGCGAAATCCAAGTCTTCTAGGTTCTTTTCCGCAGTCGAGCCAGCGTATCCCCCTCTTCTCGCTCCCCACTGTTTGCTGCATCATCCAGTCGACCACAATCAGGAATATCAAGGGGGATAGTAGGCAACCTTGTTTCACTCCTGTCTTCACTTCAAAATCATCACTGAGCTTCCCAATGTGAATTACTTGGCATGTGGCATCTTCATATAGTTGTTGAGTGAGGCGGATAAAGGTTTGCGGTACTCCGTAGTAATGAAGCAGTTTCCAAATTACTTCTCGGTCGACGCTGTCAAAGGCCTTCTCAAAGTCGATAAAGTTGAGGTAGAGTTGAGTTGACTGCCATTCTATACTCTGTTCTATGATGATGCGAAGCGTTACAATTTAGTCTGCACATGATTTGTACTATACCAATATATGAGTTATCTAAATATTTAGGTATATCATATTAGAAATTGTTCAAAATCTAGGCTTACCAGTTCAAATGAATTAAAACACAGACTGAATAATATGCAATTAATTAGATGACGGAGAAAAAAAAATATGATCAGTTTAATGTTGTGACAAGTATCTATACAAATTATACCAATGTTAATAGTCACTGACCAATCAGAAATGAACTAACCACTGATCATGAACTGAATAATAGAATTAATGTTTCTATTACGAAGAAATTATGCTAACGATACAATTGTGTCTAATTTCCATAGTTTTCAAATTACAAAGTATGAAATATGTATAAACGAACAGAAGAAGTAACAGAGAGATCTCCAATGACAACAATTTTAAGAGATATATTTATGGACAGTTAGAAAAAAAATGACACTGGAAAAATTTTAATTCAACCTTAAAAGTATGATAACGGTGTACAGATCACGTAGTTACTGTGCTGAAATCAGAGCAAGTACAAAAAACAAATTTGAATAGATATACTTGGATTTTACATCATTTCATCCTATATGTCTCAAACTATGCTTGATGATCGAGCTAGAAGTTTGACTAATAAGTCAGAAAACCTAAATACGCTAATGAAATACATTACACAGACACTAATTCTTAATAACTATCCTCCAGAATCTATTAAAACCTTCATAAGCTCTGATGAGAGAAGGAGTGGTAATGTTGGTGGTGATTGCAGCAACATGAGTAAGAGGGAATTCAAATCCTATGTAGTGTCACCGTATAGAGAAGGTAAATCGACAGCTTTATGTAGAATTCTTAACAGTGTTGGGATTAGAGTGGCATTTAAACTGACAAACTCACTCAGAGTGGAACTTTGTATGCGGCTAAAATATGCAATAGAGCCAATTCACGAAAATAACCTTATCTATTGAATAGAGCATGTAATGAGTAATGTGAGGTCAAGTAAATCGGTGAAGCAGCTGATCTGGGTGAATTAGAATAGTAGGACACACAAGTTTAAGGATAAGATAAGTAATTTAGAGAGGAATTTGGTTATTGTTGTGCATGTACTGACCCATAGGGTGGATGGGATAGGGGTGACAATTCTAAAGTCCAATGTAGCTGACTGTAGCTGGCTGACTATGTGGAGGGAGAGAATAATCACAGATGTAAGAGGAATGATTCATTATGGCATGTTATAGATAGATATATGGAAAATGTTACTACCATTAAAATAGGTGAATGAACTGTTGGAGTATATGGATGAAGTTTGAAGGTCGTATGAATACTTTGATTATCAAAATGTCATTTAGTATGTTATACTGTGCCGCTGTCTACTATAACAAACAAGCAATCTGGCATGGAATCGTCCTGTCCATTGTTGGTCTGGATACGTTTAATCTTCATTTTTCATGACTGTTTCATCTACGTGCTTTAATTTCAGACTCCGATAAGATTGTTTGTGTTGCACACCTGGTGGAGGGCGAAGGTCTGGTTGATGGACCCTCACCCGGATATGAAATCAATGTGATTTTCTTAACTTTCAGGTAAGTACCTCATCAGTGTAGAACCTAGGATCCGAGACACTTTTTTCATCAGACTGTTTCCTTTGTAATACCCATGAAAATTTCTCTACCTTCTTCAAGGCTTGGACAATCAACATTTGCAGTCTGTCAGAGGTTATGATATATGGCTCCTCCATATAGCAATCAATCGAATAGAAATCCATGGATCGCCATCTTTTAATACCTCGGGCACCAGCTCTTCTAGTCTTGCAACTCTTTCTTCTTATATGTAACTCATAACCTCAATTTCAACAGTTGTAGACTCTTTTTCATAGCTCCATTGATGAACGAAGCGAAGGAAAAGCACTTGATCACTTTGTGTACATCCATGCAGTAGGTAGTGAACCACATCTTTTGTGTAAGGGTTACTGACACTACCTGACCTCACAAACCTTGATAGGTGGAACGGGAATCGAACCCATGGCCCAATGATTGACAGATCATCTTCCTAAACCACCTAGCCACAGCTCCATTGATGATGCAGTTGGATATCGGAAAGCTCTCTTAACTTTCCCTTAAAACGATTTGGATCCTCATTCTTATTAATAAATCACAGACTTATTGTTAGCTGCTGCAGTTTCATTAGTCACAAGTGATTCCATCCTAGTCTTGTAAATCGGCCTGAGTAAGTCTGTCTGTTTTTGATTTTCACAGTTGCTTTTTACATATCACTGACTTTCGCTACCCGCAGATCTACTCGGAACCTCGCACACGAGTGCATCGGCTCAAGTTGCCGCACTTCACAATCGTACACAAAGAACAGGTGGAAAAAAATTGTAATATCAAAGCAGACAAAGTAGTATGAGAAAATAAACAATCTGAAGATGAACGTCGGTATGAATATCAAGCTTTGTAAGATGTCATGGAGTGAATACATCTGTGCCATTGCTACCGTTCTCACCAATGTCACGAAGAGTACTCAATAATTGATTCCCTTCGTCAGAGGGACCCCAACTACTGAGTCTATATTCTCCCACACACCTCAGACCAACATTTAGAGACTTCATAGACTGGTACCAAGTCTTAGCCTAGCCACCCTGAACCCTCTTCCAACCTAATCTAGAATCCCCCCTCCCAGCATTGCATTTTAAGGCAGGCGGTGGCTCAGCATACGCCTAGAAATTATTTCTTTGAAGGATATTTTACATTTATTGATTAAACTAGTGAAAATCTTAAACTCATATGAATTTTTATAGTTGACTGCATTTCGACTCCAGGATTGAACAGCAAACATCATTAATGATGTGGTGCACAGTAATGACTTCGTCTGGAGGTAACTGCGTTAGTGATATTGTTCCTACTGAGACTCGAACCCAGTACCCATCGCTTCAAACTCCAAAACGTTATCCATCATGTCACTGCGGCACGACAACCACCCCTTGCTTAATGGGTATCAGTTATTGTAGTTATACTTGTAATTTCCCGTTGCTATCGGAATCGCTTAACCTCTGTTGACAAATGGACTCTTATGCGGATGCCTCTATACTGCTGGTTATTCATGATGTTATATTGACCTCGGTGACTTGCAAAGGAATCCAGGACACGTGTTTCCTCCCATTTGTTGTTGTCGACTTACTACTATTACTATTACTATTCGTACTTTGTAGATGAATCGATAGAATTCGGTCTGCACTCAGGACTAGACAACATGAAATTGGTTGCACTCCCGTGACCAATCAATACATGTAAGCAAGTCCTACAGGAGGTCAGTCGCAGCCCGAATAGCTCAGTGATAAAGTCGCTGACTACAACACTGGGTGACGCGGGTTCGAATCTCAGGCGGGACATCAGTTTCGTCGAGGTTGCAGATACGCCTTGCTGATGAGTGCCAAAAAGCGCGAGACCTAGGTCCAGGGCTTCCTGCCGATCGCCTCCATCCAACTAACATCTACTAATATGCACCGCGATGCTGAGCTTCCTAGCTTGGTTGCCACATTGCAAATATGATCGATAAAATTCGATCTGCACTCAGGACTAGACAACATGAAATTGGTTACACTCCCGTGACTAATTAATAGGTGAAAATCTGAAGGTTGTTTCGCATATAGGTTGAACATTTAACGTTTTTAGTAATATATTAAAGTCCAATCCATCGCTAGTGTTTTTGGTACATAATAATTAAATTTACTGTAAATTTATCGTTACTTAAAAAGCTTCTACGTCTTCTTCTTCTTCTTCTTCTTCAGCAATGCTTGTACAATTACATTCGTAGCGAGGAATTATCCGGTCAAAATGCTTATAAATGTGAAAATTGTCGTCAACTTCGACCAGCTATGAGAAAGTGTACAGTGTATCGAGCTCCACCTATCCTTATTATTCAATTTAATCGGTAGGTTTAAAGGTTGTTTATTGATTGTTTATATTTTTCTGTTTGTTATCGTTAAAAAAACTTTCTATCCTTCTTGTTAGTGTTCACATCTATTTTTATGTTATGCTTACTAGAAAGGAGTATAAAATATAAATTACTTTACAATTAGAGTAAAATATTATTAGTTTAGGGTTTTCAAAACTATGAAAGTTATCACTGTATTACAGTGTTTAGTTCTACTTATGAATACTATCCACTTACGGTCATCTTCTTTCCAAAATCATCTCAAGTATTCATCATTGTATATCATTAGGGTTTCATAACTACTACTGACTTCATTTTTGCATAATACAAGACTAAACAATACGCTTTGCTTTAGCCTACTTGTTTAAAACGAGTAAAATGTAAATAAAACATGATCTTATGAGCAATTTTCTCCTATCAAACTTCACCTATTTAGCCTATGAGTAAGACTAGGATAATATAACAAAAGTATACTTTCACATTAAATGGAATATATATATATATATATATATATATATATATATATATATATATATATATATATATATATATATGTTATTTAACACTCCATAACCCCCATATTAGTGAGAAACAAAAAAGTCTCTGATATTGTTTTTTATAGGTGCAAACTGCTTCTCATTATTTGATTTTGAATATCAGTCAAATTTTACTTATATCTGAAAGTAGATTTAAATTAGAACCCTTTTATATCTATTCGATAAAACAAAATTCAATGATCAATGGCCTTTGTCTTACTGATTAGCCAATCCTATTCTAATCGGCGTTTTGTTTTTTTCTTTTCTTACCAAGAGATGTTTTTGATATCCACCCCTTCTATAAGATAAATATGAATAATAAACAAATTATTAATTTCAAGTTGTTATTCATCGAAGACTGACATCAGTTGGAGGAACAAAGGAAACCTGGGAGCACTGGACAGCTGTTTCGTCCTAGTATGGGACTCCTCAGCAGTGCGCACCCACGACCCCACCAGCAGGGATCGAACCCGCGACCTTCAGGTTCCGCGACCAGCGCGTTACCATTGAGCCACTGGGTCAGAAACCAATGCTCCATATTTCCAACTTCAGTTAGCTCACGATATAGCGCAAACCGCCACCCAATGTCATCGTTGAGTATTTGTCCTCACGGCCATCAGGCTTTGACTCCACCGGTCACGACTTGTCATTGGAACTTCGGGAATACTTCTCGAAGCTAGTCACCAACGAGCACTAGTTCAATTAAATTTTGAGGGGTTGCGCTATATCGTGAGCTAACAGAAGTTGGAAATATGGAGCATTGGATTCTGACCCAGTGGCTCAATGGTAACGCGCTGGTCGCGGAACCTGAAGGTCGCGGGTTCGATCCCTGCTGGTGGGGTCGTGGGTGCGCACTGCTGAGGAGTCCCATACTAGGACGAAACAGCTGTCCAGGCTCCCGGTTTCCTTTGTTCCTCCAACTGATGTCAGTCTTCGATGAATAACAACTTGAAATATTCCAAATCTCCACAACCCCCTCAAAATTATTAATTACCTTATGAAGTTTATTTATTTACTAATTTGTAAAGATACCTTGTCTTTACTGAATACTGTCAGGTAGAACAAAATAAAACACACTCACATACACACACACACACACAAAATAAATAACTAAATTATAATCATCATTTTGTGTTTAAGACTAATTAAATTTCATTTTCATTACGTTTTATACGTATTTAGAAACATAGGATGGGAATTTGTGGTCATTGAAGTATGCATATAAAGTGTACCTCACACTACTACTACTACTACTACCACAACTACGACTACACACTGACTACTACTATCTTATGCATAAATCTGTGTATATAATATCTGTATGTGTAAAAAAAAATAATAAAGCCTATCTAATAATGCCTTATGAATTCATGATGATGATGATGATGATGAAGTTTTTTATTGAACATGAGATGAAGGCAGTGCAAAGAACAGCAACAACTCAATTACCTGAGAGAGAAAAACAGTTACCACTATTGACGTGTGTATTATATGGTGAGAATACTTGAGGATATAATAAATGTGTGTGTGTAAGCTATAATAATTTTATTATTTAATTTCCTTCAACTTTTTACATGTTTTCCTTACTAACTCCTCTCCTCCTACCACCCATTTTTAACTCCCTTAATTATTCAACCATTTTTATTCATCTTATGATCAGTTGAAGAAGAAAATAATTACCATTTCAAGATGTTTCAACAAAATATTTGATTAGTTTTATAGCTTTGCTTTGATCAAATTTGCTCCCAGGGGTTTTTTCTCACAAATACATATATAGTCTTTGTCTAGTGAGTTGATGAACTCAAGGCTGTGAACCATTTCACAACACTGACCATCACACTATATTACTGTGTACTAGTTATTAGTGACATGCTTCGAAATGGGCATCCCAAAGTTTTAATGAGAAACTACAACCTGTGGGATCAACCAGTGGAAAGTGAAACATACCAGCTGAAGACCTTGATGGATAGTTTCACTATATCACGAATTATAGACCATTGAAATCTGACCCAGTGACTGAATGGTTAAGATGTTTTCCACGAGACCTGAAGGTTCTGAGTTCGATCGCTGGTGGCGTTGTTGGTTTACATTCTGCTGACGAGTACCATATTGGGACAAAATAACTATCTAATTCTCCCAGGTTTTTAATGGTTTCCCAACTGATATCATTCCATGATGAATACTACATTGAGATATGAGAATATTTCCATGTATTCATCTAAATCACTTTCCATCAGTTTGTCATGAAGATCAGCACCGTTCATCTATCCTATCTGCTTTCATTTAACAGGATGGCATCAGTATACTGTGTTGCTGCGTAATAAATTCAAGTTCCATACAATATGTCTCTATGATCATCTTCGTCAAAATATAAAGGAATAAGATTTGCAAAATAAATTCAGCTCATAATTATTTCGTGGCTCCTCCTCAACTGCGAACAGCCTGAAATTAGTATAGGATGAAAATGAAAAACAGTTTTATGTTAGAATAAGGTGACCATGTACGTTGGAAATGTAGATGTAACAGAACAAATTTTAATATTATTCTCGCTGCTAAGATTTCTTATTTTATCCTATACTAATTCCGTATTCTAAGCTTTGAAATAATGGAGAATATTTGTAGCTCAGGTAGAGATGGTCTTGGCTGTATTGTGTTCTCTGAGCTGGGTTGTTTAATCGTGAAGCTTTCATCGTCTTGCTAGACGATATCATCAGCACTAACTTCAGTATGAAGTGACCTGTCAATATCTCTCCATGAGTGATTTAGTAGCTTGCTCTGACGATGTGGTCTCAGAGACCACAGAGAACACAATACAACCAAGTATTCTAGGCTGTTTGCAACTGAGGAAATTATACTATACTAGAACTTGATTACAACATTATAAAGGTCTAGTTGATGGAAAATGGAAGGGAAACAAAATGGAACTGGGTTGCTAAACAATCAACCTCAAAAATACATTCAAAGAAGCATTAACTACTTTTATTTTACCTTTCGGTAGTAGGAGAAACAAGAAAGCTGCAGTATAACTGCTACTGGTATTGACTATGAGCCGTGTGTACTATTGTCTCAAGGTACTGATTTGCATGATCTCTTGAATTCCATCCAATGAGTCGTGAGTCACCTGCGGATGCTAACGTAATACAACTAACTTTCATACCACGATGCTGTTTCACATACTGACCACTTCTCTGCTTCTTCTAACCAGTCCCAGAGCACCGTAACAGTTGGCGGTTTGAGAGCCACTGAAACGGCATGTCTAATACATATGCAGGCTACCGAGGCCGTTGTTTCAAGATGATCACATTCAATAGGTGACGATCTTCATCATTACCTAAGAACATGTCGCCTCACCGCAGAATTACTTGCATCGGATGCAAGCAATCCTGTGAATACGGCAGTGATTGTAAAAGTGGAGTCGTTGAACATCCTCAGTTTGGTAAGGCTTGGTTTCACAGGCGTAAAGCTGAGCTGCTAGCATGGATGCACTGTACATCTGACTTTTTATAGTTTCGACTAACGTCGCAACAACACCAAAGGTGATCCAGACTGGTACATACCAATATGATCTTTAGTGTACAGGTGGAAATCTCATCAGTCATGTATACACCAAGTACTCAAACTTTTCAAAAACTCCCAGCGACTCAGTGCAGGTACAGGCTCTTACCAGTCCTGCTGAAGCACTTTACACTTTGATGGTGCATAACACATACCGTACTTACGAGCACTGGTAGATGAAGAGAAGTCACCAAATAATTATGAGCTCAAAATTATGTTCATCTTACTTGAATGGTAATTGAAGCTTGTTGATAGCACAACTCACGTCAAAAAAATCCTTCCATAGAATATACTTCAAAATGACATGTCTTATATCTTTCAACTTGTAGGTTATAATTTGCTTAGATTTATCCAGGTTTAGTCCCTAATATCTGTTTAAGGGGGGGGAACATTACTTTTGTCAACTTAAAACGTTTTAACTCAAGGTGTATACGAAAAGGATAAGCAGTTTTACTGTCAACATGCTTGGTAGATTACTTCGTAGATTATATTGGTCATCGTCATTATTGTATTTATGCCATAACTGCTTTCAATTACTTTTGTGTATATAATGAATTTCTTTTCATCACTTACACATTACAGATTTTCACGTCATCAGAAGCTTGATATGCATGTCGAGTTCCCATCATCATTCAATTTACGTCCATTTATGACTCAATCGAAAGGTTCACCAATATTGTATAAATTATATGCAACTGTCAATCATGAAGGATTCAGTTGTCGTAGTGGTCATTATGTATCATTTACTCATCGTCATGGTCAATGGTTATCGCATAATGATAGTTTTGTAAGTTGTCTCTTTTTTCATCAATATTTATTAATAATTATCTTTTTGGCTAAAGAATTGTCAGAAATATTACATGTTAGAAGTTTTTCATTTTCAATGCTTTCAACCTGTTCAGTGCAAAAATATATATGAGATTGTCGTGTTAGGTAGATGAAGAACTAAATGTATACAGTCATTTTTCAACTATGCGGATATTCGCTTGAATTGTATTTCCTGTCAGTTAGTACCAATATAGGACATGAAGACACAGGGCATAGAAATTGAAGGATTTAAAAACAAGGGGGGAATATAATCGAAATTTGTAGGAAGGCATAAGAAGTATGGGGAAAAGGGTTAAAACGATAATGATATTGAATATAACCATTAGAATGAAGATACTGTGTGAATATATATCTGCGCCATTATGATCGTTTTTGAGCCATACCATCCAATCATTCATTTTGTTTGTCACACAGATCCCAGTCGGGAAATGAACAAACAGTTGGGGATTTTATGAACTGCTTAAAAACCCGAACCAAAGCTCTACGTTACTAACGTTTTTAGTTCCATGATATAAGAACACTGGTAAGAAGACAACGGTTGTTCGAATACCTGAAGTCTTTTCATCCTCTCTACATTTAATAGTATGCTTGACAGCCACATAGTACTTCATAGTAAGTTTTAAATACAACTTAAATGCATCAACCTTGCGCACGATGGGGCACCGGGAATGATAGCGGAGCAGTGACTTTCAACCAGGTTCAAGCCCTGCTTTACCTACCAAGGCTTGGAAACCCAGGTAGTATCATAAATCCTCACACATAATAGGTGCGGCACATTGGCCTACTACACGAATATCCACAAGGTTGCTGAGAGTGGATTTCGATTTTTGTCGACATCAACCGTAATGGTTAAAAAATATTTTGTTGAATATATGTATATATACCTGCCGAAATGCATGACTGTAATCTTAGTACACTACTTGTTCATCAGGAGTCGTTGAAGCTAAATGAGATATAAGTGTGTATATGACATAAAACCATCTTCGCTGAAACCTTGAAATAATAATTTCATTTATGTGATTACAATTCATACTGTCGTGTACTTATTGTAGTTTACTTTACTTTGAAGCTTTCTGCATACCATGCGTTTATCTTTGACTGTTCTGTGTCGAAGGTTAACGGTTTGTAGAAAAGTGCCTTTCATTCAATTACGTTTTTGATTTTCAACTGGGTAGGTGACATAATGTAACCCTACTCCCCCTAACAAGGCTTGCTACTGCAACCTAATAGTGTCAGTAGTGTTTACGTAATAAGGGGAACCTATTGGTTGTTTATCATTTATTATTTGTCGCTTGGGTTCCTGTTGGAACATAGGGCTTCAGTAGCACGTCTCCAGTGCACTCTGTTCTCTGAAATGTTTTGAACCTGGTTCCACGACAGCCGAGAAGCGCTCATTTCTTTTTCGCACGATCTCCTCCATGTCACCCTCGGATGTCCAACTCGTCGCTTCCCATCTAGGTTCCACTCGAGTGCCTAGCCTGGCGCGTGATGTCCCTGAATGGTCTTCTCAGTGCATGCCCAATCCATCTCCACTTCCTTCCAGTGCATATTTGTTGAGTGATAGGTTCTTGGTTGGTTCGTTGCCAGGAAGAGTTCCTCGTTGCTTATTCTTATTATTCTGGCCATCTGATCTTCAGTAACAAGCCAGCGTAGGAAGTTGTTGATGAATGTCTGTAGTTTGTTGTATTGGTTGTTTAGTACTCATTAATTTAAAACGCCATCTGGGTACAACATAGGTACCAAAAAGGGGGACCATACGAATTAACGAAACATTGGGGATACATACAATTGATGAGAAGAAAGCAACCAAGTAGACAAGAAGGAGAAATAGTGATAGGTTTTTAAATAATCAATCTCATTTGGATACTGAAAGGAGCATTTTAATTTAGGTGTTTGTGAGGATTTAGTGATTTTTCACGTTGGTATTCATTATGGACTGACATTAGTTGGAGGAACATTGGATAAATAGGGGCGCTGGATAACTGTTTCGTCCTGGTATTGGACTCCTCAGCAGTGCGCACCCATGACGCCGTCAAGAATCGAACCTAAAGCCTTCAGGTTTCGTTACCAAGGCGTTGCTAGTGAGCTAGCCACTGGGTCGGAATCCCCTATTTCTTACTTCCAACTTCACCTCTTTCATCCTACTTTTCAATGACAAGATATGAGGAGGCTCCAGCATAATCTCCACTGTCCTATGGAACTACTATGGCATAACATCTGCATGTAGTCGTTGATTTACAGTGTTATATGTAGATAGAAGAGTTTCATTGTCTCATGATGACTTTGGTGTATAATTTAACAATAAAATAGTTCCTCATACTGCAGACTAAGCTGTTCATTCCTATTATCAAATCTATTTTCTTTTTCTTCTGTGATAATATTTTATTATGGTTGTGTGTATTATATTCACTATTTTGTTTATTTTGTGCTGGTTAGATTTCAACAATAAATTCTGACCACGTTTTTCGCCAGTATCCTTATCTTCTATTCTATGAAGCGGTAAGTGCCCATATTTATTAGTATTATTATTACTGTTACTATTATTATTATTGTTATTTGTTTATTGCTCATAATTTAGGCTGTTTTTCATACATATTTGTTTCATGTACTAATCAACTCGGGAAATCTTGGTTAGGCCAAAGTAAACTAGTAGTCTTATCTTATTTTGTAGAGGGTAACTAAACCCATCTGCCTACCGTTGTTTCCAACTCTAGTGATCTCATCTATAATATAAGGATGGAGGTGGAGCGGTTTATCATTCAAGTTATAAGAAAACCTGAGCTACAGTTTGATGAAAACCATTGCCAGTTATAGGATTGCCGATCTGGGCTAGTCTGTTAAGCGAGGGGTGTGTTTGAGGATAATTTCCAATAATACGATTATATTTCTATCGTTCAATTATTGTAAAGTTTTCACTCTGAAAATTGTTGTGATTATACTCGATATATTTCACAGTTCCATGCTTATGTGTCTTTAAAGTAAGTTCTTTCTCAATTAGTTATCATCTAACAGGTATCTATAAAATCGGAAGTTTAAGCGGTTTTCTTTATTGATTTCAGATTGATGCTCTCTCCACGAATTGACATAAACTGGAGAAACAATTGAAAGGAACAGGAACACAGGACAGTTGTTTCATTCTAGTATGGGACTCTTCAGTAGTGCGTACTTATGATCTCGCCAGGAATCGGACCCAAGACTTTCAGATTCCGTAGTCAACACGTTACCATTGAGCCACTGGGTCGGAATCCAATAGTCCATATCATGAACTGAGAGAAGTTAGGAAATGTGAACTATTGAATTTTGACTTAGCGGCCCAATGATAATGTATTGAATTTGAAGGTCCTACGTTCGATCCCTGGCGGATTGGTGTCATGAGTATGCACTGCCGAGGAGTTTCATACTATAACAAAACAGTTGTCCAGCACTCTCAGATTTCCAGTGTTTCTCCTACCGATTGCTAACCTGAAATCAATACCGATCAAGATATCAAGTTGTAGATATGTGGTACATGAGCAGTGATTTCGGTTATTTTACATGAAGTTTTTTCCGAAACGATCTTACTAGCTTTAAGAAAACCTTATCTAGTATATATTTGAGTCATGGTAATTTATATGAAAAAGTATACATTTTCTTTAATTGATACTTTGAATTTCTAGATTCGGAGTTCAGCTAATAGTACAGTTAACACATCAATAATGTCTAAATCTCCATCATCTGTTAACCAAGTTTTAAAGCCTTCTCCTCTTAATAGTAGTACTATGTCTACTACCTCTCAATCATCATCCTTCATTGATACTACTGTTCAACAACAACCGAATAGAAAAGAAATTTCAAATTCACTTTCAACATCATTACCTATACAATCGAATCTCTTTAAATCATTTAGTGTAACAAAGCAAGCAAGTCTACCCACTATAGAATCTGTGACTGCATCTACTACATTGTTTTCTCAAACTCAAACAACTAATTCATTGTCTTATAATGGTGTGAATACAACATCATCTATGCCTAAAATTGTTTTTAATCCCAAAGTTTCGTCGAATAAATTAAATATCTTATGTAAGTCTACTCTATTTACCGTATGTAACTTTTTTTTTTATGAAGATTTTTTATACTTTAGTCGTGTCCCGGTGGGAACAACATCACTCACTGAGAGGCAGGTACATCCAACTGACGAGTCTTAAGTAGGATGAAATACGCATCCTGGATTCCACTGTTAGCCACTATCTATCATTACTATTTATTTATCTTTATGAAATATGCTCAGTGTTTGTAAGCTGATAGAGTTGTGAGGGCGATTGACACTTCCCGTGGAAGGCTATTTCTTCTTAAGATACCTGAAAGAGATTTGTGTGACCGAAGAGCCTATCGGACATCTGCTTTAGGTCTGTCATACCCAGCCTTTTGTGTATAATTGTTTCAAACTTTTGAATTTTTGGGGCCGGATAGTCGAAAGGAAACGACAAATTAACCAACACCGCCGGTCCGGCAGACCATAGGGTATGGTGGATGCCCATCACTACTATACATAATTTAAAAAAAACCTAAGCGATATCGAGGCATCCACACAGGAGCTCATATGCCAACAGAGACTGATCAATTCGGTCCAATCAACGACAGTGTCATACAAATAATAACACTAAACCTATACCCTTCTCAGTGATGCTTTTGAAGTGAAGACAGGAGTGAAACAAGGTTGCCTACTATCCCCCATGATATTCCTTATTGTGGTGGACTGGATCATGCAGCAGACAGTAGGCAGCGAGAAGAGGGGGATACACTGGACGACGGAAAAGAACCTAGAAGACTTGGATTTCGCCGATGACTTATGCCTAATGTCACATAAACTTGAAGATCTGCAGGCAAAAACTAACAAGTTGATAGACGAGGCAGCTAAGACGGGACTTCAGGTGAATATAGAGAAGACACAAGTGATGAAGACACCGCACCACCACCATCAACAACAACAACAAACTCCAATCACCATCAACGGGAGAAACTTGAAGGAAGTAACCTCCTTCACCTATCTAGGAAGCACTGTTTCAACTACAGGCGGGACGGACGAGGACGTCAAAGTCAGAATCGGAAAAGCAAGACAGGCGTTCATTAGCCTGAAACCAGTGTGGAGATCTTCTGCACTCAGCATGCGGAACAAGATACGGATTTTCAACACCAACGTCAAGTCAGTGCTCTTGTATGGTTCAGAGACTTGGCGCGTCACGAAAGGTATTTCCAATAAACTACAGACATTCATCAACAACTGCTTACGCTCGCTGCTGAAGATCAGATGGCCAGAAAAAATAAACAACAAGGAACTCTGGGAACGAACCAACCAAGAACCTATCACGCAACAAATATGCAGGAAGAAGTGGAGATGGATTGGGCATGCACTGAGAAGGCCGACTGAGGACATCACGCGTCAGGCCCTCGAGTGGAACCCCGATGGGAAGCGACGAGTTGGACGTCCGAGGGTGACATGGAGGAGGTCGTGCGAAGAGGAAATGAGAGGTTGTGGGCTGTCGTGGGACCAGGTTGAAAAGATCTCAGAGAACAGAGGTCACTGGAGGCGTGCTACTGAAGCCCTATGTTCCACTAGGAACCCAAGGGACTAATAATAATAATAATATACCCTTCTCACAAGAAGTGGCTATCGTGGCTCCGTGGTGTAGTGGATAATGCTATGGTGTTTGAAGCAATCGGTCCCGAGTCCCGGTGGGAACAACATCACTTACTGGGAGGCAGGTACATCCAGCTACAAGTCGTAAATAGGACGAAATGCTCATCGTGGATCCCACTGCCCATCATTACTATACATAGTTACTTTTTTTTGTGATAAATTTCTAGAAAATAACAACAAAACTTCATTCATCTTAATCGTTCAATGTATTTGGAAAACATATTTCTCTAACAATCTGACCCCACATGTACTTTTAGTGGTCATTGATATCCAAAATGTTAAGAATTTGAAACAGTGAGAAAGTAAGACAGTCAAACCAGTTGACTGAATAACAGGTCAAAATAACAACAAAAATCAATGAAGTATAAATAATAGTGCATTGATCATGATTTTGGAGTTAAAATTATCAAAAAAGGTTTCATGAAGTCAAATGGTTTGTGAATACGCTACACTAAAGTATTAACATATTTGTGAATACGTTGTATAACATTCTCTTTTAAATGGGTTTAGAAAGATAAATTGAACATCGAACCTGAAATACAAGTGAATCCAGTTCAAGTTTCTACACTTCATAGTAGTACACAGGGAAAAGGTGCATAGAAGAAGACTGATAATGAAAGTAGACTAAGTTGTGCGAGAGAATAAACAATTTAGAGATAAAGGTTACTGCGAATACTCAAGTTTTAGACAACGTCAGAGAGTGAATACATCTGTCATCAAGAGTCCTCAACCAACGATTCTTATCGTCTGACGAACTACAACCCGCTAGTCCACACCTCCCCACATAAGTCAGATCAACAATCAAAAATTCTATGTGCGAGGGTCACATATTGGTATGGCCACTACGAGGTCTATTTCAAACCAATCCAACCTCAGTTAACACTGTAGGTCAACGTAGGTTGTGACTCAACATATACAACACATGTCCAAGCTTTGTCAGCCATTGAAGGTTCACAACCTCATCAATCCGCTTACCTATCTTGTCTGGTACCATTTGACTGACTTCAACACTCCTCACACGGTGATCCGATCAAATATGTGCAGTGCTACCAAGGCACCTATGACTAAAGCTGTGCAACCGTTTCATGTTTTCTACTTTTAACGGCCATGTCTCACAGCCGTACAACAGTACAGAATGGGCTGCAGTGCAGTATACTCGTCCTTTGATAGATAGTCGAATATCTCACCAGTCGGCGCCAAAGTTGACAGAAGTTGGCAAATGCTGAAAAGGGTTTTTTTTATATCCGAGTTAAGAATTTGTCAGCAGCCAGTTCGTTCCGGTTGATGCAACTCCCCAAGTAAGTAACTTAGTCGACAAGTTCCATGCTTTTTTACCCTGTAGTGGTTGAAATACAGTTGATAAATGATCCATTACATCAAAGTGGAACTTTCCTCTAGTTTTTACTACCATGCATCTTTCATCTACAACTTGCCAACAGATAACAATAAGTAATTCAGAGACCTATGGAAGTAGTAATGTCTTAATGAGTGTTGTCAGTAGAAACTCCAAAGGAACAGTCTAATGGACATTATCAACGAACGAAGTTTTGAGCTGTCTCAATTTAGTTGATAATATCGTCACCTAATTACACAAACGTTGACCCAATCACAGGTGAATTTTCTTTAGATCTAGAATATGCAGATGACATAGTCCTGTTAGGTGAAGACGCTGACAAGATGCAGAGTCTTCTGAACACTTTGGGTGGGAATTTGAGAATGTTTGGGATGCGGTTTTCACCACCCAAATGCAAATTTTTGCTCCAGGACTGGTCTTCAGCGGTACCGCGGCTAACAATAGAGAGTGAAGTGGTTGAGTGTGTTGACCACTTCACTTACCTGGGAAGTAGGATCAACCCCGATGGGTTAGTTGCCGATGAGATTTCGGCACGGATACAAAAGGCTCGATTGGCTTTTGCCAATTTGCGCCACCTATGGCGCCGCCGTGATATTCGTTTGTCTATTAAGGGTCGCGTGTACTGCACCTGCACAGCAGTCCGGTCTGTTCTACTGTATGGCTGTGAAACATGGCCATTGAAAGTGGAAGACATGAGAAGGTTACAGGTATTTGACCACCGTTGCCTTCGTAATATAGGACGTATTCCGTGGTGTCACCATGTGAGTAATGCAGAAGTTAGGTGTAGAGTTTTGGGGAGAAGAGGTAAGTCAGTTGACAAGGTTGTGAACCTTCATCGACTGAGATGGTTGAGACACGTACTACGTATGCCTAGTCACCGATTGCCTCATCACAATGTTGGCTGAGGTGGGTCCAGGCTGGAAAAAGGCCCGAGGTGGCCAGACTAAAACATGGCACCAATGTATGAAGTCTCTGACTGTTGGTTTAAGCCATGTAGGACGATGCAGACTAGGTGGTTGTGGTCCATGGGACAGAGGAACCAGTGGTTGGAGACTCTAGGTGATATGGCTCAGAACCGAAATCAGTGGCGCAGATGTATACACACATTATCCTCATCTTAACAACGCTATACCGAATCTCACTATTTTGTCACTCCTCTTTCCTTTCTTCTCGTACTTTATATTTCTTTTGACTGCATTTCCTTATCTTCATCTTGTGCCTCACTACCTTTTTACTTGATGTGCTGATATGAGGTGTGGCAAGTTGGACCGTTACGCAGTAATGCCTGGTCCTATGTTGATAATGATGATGATGATGAGTTGATAATATATCTACTTCAGTGAATGCTTTCCCTTTAAATGTAAACTGATCTATTTTTCTGTGCTTGGTGTTTAAATATTCGTTTAGTATCTAACGATTGAATCACTTCAATTAGCAATAGTGAATTGAGTTGATTTCATTGCATTTCAAGCTGGAAAAGAAAAAGAAAATGTTTGTTTTTTAAATTTTAAGTCAGTTACTACTGTCACTTGTTGATTGTTCTTTCAGCTTCATCAACTATTCCTTTCAAATCAACATCAGACAATCAGATCACTGCAGAATCTTTTACTTCAAACACTAAAACTACTCAAAATGTGGATAGTAGTATTACAAATAAGTCGATTGTTTCAACAATACCGTCTACAACAACAACAGTACCACCTATCGCTTTATCTGCATCTATTGTTCGAGAGGTTAGATTTCATTTTGTGTTCAATAACTTTTTAATTATTCATATACACTTTTTAATGTATGATTTCGAAATCATAAATAAAGAAAATGCCTCTGATAGAATTTTTATCCTAATTTGAAATTTCTAACTTAGAGAATCAATCCACTACAATGATTTCCAAAAAGGAACTTACGATTGTCAGCTCCTACAGAGATTTTACTATCATTCGATTACAGAAATGAAGTAGAATAATTCACATTTTTCAAATTCATATGATGTTTATTATAATTCAATGTTTTTACCTGACATCTATCCTTACTGTTGATATCAGGTTTTTGTAAAAAATTAACTTGTAATCAACAAATCCCCCTAGAAACAGTAAAAAAACAAACATATATTACACTAAATGAAGTGAGATTTCATGTGCATACAAATCAATGTAATGCTAAGATATGTCTATTAGTAATTCTCATGCTAAGAATGATGTATAAGGTAAGGTAATAAATAGTGTAGTGATCATCATTTTGACAAAAAAATCAATTCCAAACGAATGTTGCATAGTAAGATTGCTCCAATGAAAAAAAGGGGAAAGGGGGTAGACAACGCATATATAGTGTCTTGATTTCCTTAGATAATAGTTAATTATTACATATTAATGATGGATAGTGACTAACAGTGGAATTCAGGACCCATGTTTCGTTCTATTTGTGACTCGTCAGTTGGACTTACCTGCCTCCCAATGAGCGATGCTGTTCTCATTGAGGCTCGAACCCGAGACTGATCACTTCAAAATCTATGGCCTTATTCATTAGATAGACCACTGAATCACGATAGCCAATTCTTGTTGCTTATATTACCCGTAACAAGTAAAAAAAAATAATAATAACTAAAGCAAATACACACAAGTAAACCGAATTCTTTATACGTAGTAATAACTGATTACAATGGCATTTATTCCCATATTATTATCACATATGACCAACGTGGTTCGATTGGTTGTGCTGTTGTCCCCACTAGGATTCGAATTCAGAACCGATCGCTTCTAACTCCAGACTCCTGGGTCATGATAGCCACTTCTTGTGCAGCGGATATAGTTTTACTGTTATTGCTTGTACTATCCCGTTGTTGAATGGGTTGAATTGATCGATCGTTATTGGCATATGGGCAGCAGGTTCATCCAGCTGACGAGTCCCAAGTAGGTCGAAACGTGCGTCCTGGATTCTACTACTAGCCACTATCTATCATTAATATATGTAATTTAAAAGAGGTAATATCGAGGCATCCGCTCAGGAGCCTATATACAAATAGAGACAGATCAGTTCGGTCCATTCAACTACAATATGATACAAGCAATAACACTAGTTAATTTTTAGTTTACCCATTGTGCGTAACTTTAGAAGAGTTATGCGATTTTCGGAAAAGCATGAAATCAATTTCTGAAGAACTAATTGGTTAAACTTAAGGCAGGTAAGTCGATCGGTAAGGTTGTGAAACCTTCATTGACTAAGGTGGCTTGGACATTTACCGCGCATGTCGATCCACCACCTACCTTGACGTGCCATTGTAAGGGAAGTTGGATTAGGTTGGAAGAGAATTAAGGGTGACCAGACCAACGCGTGGCACCAGCGCATGAGGTCTTTGACTGTTGGTCTAAGGCGTTTAAAGAGGTGTAGACAGCGTGGTTAGGTGAGATTCCTGAGACGACAGGAATGAATGGTTGGAAGCTACTGTTGACATTACTGAAAACTGGTCACAATTGCCCAAATGTATTCACTCTTTAATGTCTTCTAAAGCTTGAATACTTTCACTAACTATGTGCGAGATTCTACGTTGATTTTGTCTATCTGATAAATGGAAATCATAGTCAGTACTGAGTAGATGATTGAACCACTTACATGTGAATAGGATGCAGTATGTATGGTGGATAGTAAGCGTACTGAATATTTGATACCACCTTCTTTGTGTTAAAACAGTTGTCGTACGATCTCCCAGAAAACACATGACTATTTCTCATGGATATAGCTGATCCCATGAGGATCATTATTCCAAAGAAATCTGTCAAGTTTGTGTCTCTATCCCTACCAGTTGTAGGGCACAGTCTTTGTTAAACGCATACTGACTGTATCCCCTCTATTCTTTTTCATCTATTTTTTGCTTCCTTCGAAACATTCTTGTCACGTCATATATATCCATACCTTGTTAGTTGGTTGGAGGCAATCAGCAGGAATCCCTGCTCAAACTAAGTTTCATGCTTGTTAGGACTCATCAGCAGGACATGCCTGGAACGTAGACGGAACCGATGTCCTGCCTGGGGTTCGAACCCGAGTCGCTCAGTGTTGTAGTCAGCGACTTTACCACTAAGCCATTCGGGCCGCGACTGAATATATATATATATACATGGATTGGTCACTGGAGAACAACTAACCTTATGTTATCGAGTCCTTAATGTTGACTGAATTCTATGGATCTTTTTCGAAGTGGGACAATCAAGTTAAGTAGGCTCAGTATCATGGCGAACTCTGATGATGATGATTACTTAGTTGAAGGCAATTGGTATGGCTTCTAGCCAAGTTGGCTTCAATCAACCGAAAATCAAATTGCAACATTAACACATGATTTCTGACCATGAATCTTCATTTTATAGAGAAAACTTGCAAGCATTGAACCGTTGTGTCATCTCAGTTTGAAACTCTGGCAGTGCACAGTTTCTCAAGGGATTGAGCTCATGATCATCAAGTAGTAGTATCGTTGCAAGCCTATTGCCATTCAGTCACTGGTTTGAAACCTAACAGTTCACTTTTCTAACTTCTGTTGATTCGTGTCACAATTCGGCTATCACCCAGTGTTGTCGGTTTTCATTCGTACCCTAAAGCTTGGTCGATCCCACAGGCAACAGTTTTCATTGTTTCCATTCAAAAAAGTTGTGTTTTTTGAAGTACCTAGTAGTCGTTACAGTTGGTCACTCTTTAACCAACGGTGGACTTACCCCGATCACCGACGATATGCATGTTCGTATCTGAACTTTGGTAGGCGGAATAAGGTTCTTACCTGTGACCCACTATTTGACAGTCAACTTTCTGTTCACAGCATCAAGTAGAGCAGGGGTTTAGAGAGATGACTACCAACCATTTGGTCACGGGGTTCGAACCCCGTCCCACCTACCGTGGTTTAGACAGCCAGGTGGTATCACTAGCCGTCACACAAAAGGTATGTCTCACTGCCTACTGCATTAATGTGCACAAGGTAGCTAAGTGCCCTTTGTTTTCTTTCACTGCCTTTATATAATAAAATTTCTTGATCTCTACAGTTGCTCTATGGAAAAGAAAATCCACCGAATTTATGGACTGAACGACCAACACCATTAGGAAAAACTTCTGTCTCAGCATCATCCTTACCTGAAAATACCAAAATCTGTGTCGAAGGTCAGTCATCAGACAATCTTCTCAGTAATTTGGAAAGTCGAACAATCACTAATGTAAAAGCACAAGTTATGTCTCCTCAACTCTCTTCAATAACTCCTAGAGATTCGTACAACGGTGAAAGAAAGCCGATAGATCCCTTGGTCGACTATCCGTATGAGGTAATGTTTGAATTGAGCAGTGAAACTGCTTCAGTTCATATTCACGTTTTCTTTATTTACTTATCTAACTTGCAGTTTCTGGTTACTATTGTTTTGTATATTGACTAGGATTATTCATAAACACCATATTTGTTCATTCACACACGTTTGATATAGTCTGAATTCAAAGTTATCGAAGTCGACCGTGAGGACAGATACCCAATAAGTGCATTGGATAGGGGTCACGCTATATCGTGACAGAAGTAGGAAATGGGGATCATTGGCTACCGACCCACTAGCCTATTGACAACGTGCCGGCCGCGGAACCTGAGTTGAGTTCGACCACTATTGTGGTCATGGCTGCGCACTGCTAAGGAGTCCCATACTATGACGAAACAGCTGTCCACTGCTCACATGTTTCCAATGTTTCTCCAACTAATGTCAGTCCATGATAAATACCATCATGAAATCAGTAAATAAACCTCCTACAATCTAAATTGAATCCGGTATGCTACTTTTTTCTCGTTGTGTGTATTGAAATATTGATCTTTTTAATAGATTATCCTTGTTAACACTACATATGAGAACTACAGTGATTAGATCATCATTGCCTTTAAAAAAAAGACATTTTTCACATGCAGTTGAAATATCGAGATGAGATTTGGCCAACTTTTGGTCTAGTAATCATCGTAAATATCTTGACATTCATCAACGTATACTCTTTCGTTTAGAGCAGCAATAATTTTAGTTTGAATCCAATAAAATAATACTCAGCTGTTAAGATGTTATAAATCAGCTGTGAAAAGTTATTGATCGCTTTAATTGTAATAAGCTTACTAATATAAATGTACTTATGATCCAGTTTTTTAGCACCGTAACATTTTTATTGTCTTCATCTCATTCGAATGAAATGAATTGAACTTATTCAGTGTCTACTTGGATGTTTGTGTCCACCTGTTTTATCAGCATCATCAAGATCAACACAGAACCAAACAATAATGTATAACGGTCCAAGTTGCCCACAGCTCATATCAACACATCGAGTAACAAGGCAATGAAATGGAAGATGGTGAAGATAAGAAAAATCGGTTCAAAGAAGTAGATGTAGTAAAAAAAAAGAAGGAGGAATGAGATGATGTGATTAAATTTATCGGTTAAGATGAGGATAATATGTGTATACATCTATGCCACTAACATCGAATTTGAGCCATATCACCTAGAGTCAGTCTTCAACCACTAGTTCCTCTTGTCCCGCGGACGTCAGCCGGTTAGTCTGCATTGCCCCACATGACTCAAACCAACGGTTAAACACTTTATACATTGATGACATGTTTTGGTGTGGGCATCAGCCTGGACCTACTTCAGCCAACATTGTATGACAGAGCAATCGGGGACTAGATATACGTAACACGTGTCCCAACCATTTCAGTCGATGAAGGTTGACAACCGTGTTAACTAACTTACCTCTTCTGCCTAAAACTCTACTCCAGACTTCTGCGTTACTCACATGGTGATACCATGGAATATGGCCTATACTACGAAGGCAATTGTGGTCAAACACCTGAAGCTAGCCCTCTCATATCTTCCACTTTCAATGGCTATGTTTCACAGCCATACAATAAAACATACAGCACAATACACTCCACCCTTAATAGACAGTTGTTTATCAATGTTCATGATATCGTCTAATTGCTCAAACCTTGGTAAGTAGATCAGTAAAACGAATGGAATCAGTGAACTATGCTTTCAAGCTGCAGGTAATTTTCAAACTTGTTGTAAAGCAAGAGTAATATAACTGTATGTATACATATATATATATATCTTAATGAATCTGAATTTCATTAGTTTTAACTCATTTTCTCATTTAGGAATCTGATAGTAATACTGAGATGTCACCACCTCCATCTAAACGTTGTCGTGTATCAAATAATGATTATAATTCAAGTGTTACCTGGGTTCCTTTAAACTCTCATAATGGTAATGATAATGATAAATCTGAGAAAAATGAAATTCTCAATCCTTCATCACATGATCATCAACACAGTAAAAAGCATAAACGTTGCAAGAAAAAGCATAAAAGTCACTTTTTTTCTTCTGCATCATCATTATTGTCTATGAAACACACTTCATATTATGAATCACGACGTAATTCAGATAATGATCAGTATCATCGATTTGAGCATAATGGAAGTCGACATCATGACAAAGAGCATCGTCATCATCATCATCATCGTAAAAAGCATAGACATAACAAGCATAACTCTAAGAACAACAGATCCTGTTCACGTCATAAACATCATTAACAGTCAAATCAACATGAAATTGAATATAGCTGAATGAAACGTTTTCATATTATATAGAATTAACTTCTTGTATGCATGCATATATGCTATTCATTATAGTAATATGATTATTTGTTATTTTATTTTCCATTTGCCTACTTTTTTTCCCTTGTATTCTCTTAATTAAACTGTTAAAATATGCTTTAAACTCGACAAAGATGAATGCATAGTGAGATAATTTGCCTACCAACTTTTGTTCTCATATGTGATTGTAGTCTTCTTTTATATATAGATACACACACACACACACATTGTCGCCTTTTTGTTATTCTACCTACCGTTATTGTTATCATCAGTTTCGTTTTATTGTTTTCACTTCTGAATTGTTTTAAAAGTAAAGTGTACAGTTCAATTGGTTTTTCAATATTCTCTGATGTTGATGTTATTCCACTGAGCGCAGAGATATACCCATGTACACACACACACACACACTGGGCTGGAACAAACATGAAGGATATGCGGAACATGAGAGAGAAAGATGAACAGTAGGTAGGCGTTACAGGTATTACAGTTCATCATATAATTTCTAAGATGCATAAATGAAGGGTAAACTGTCAAGCTTTTGTGCAGCATTGTTTATCCCAACGCTTTATTATTATTATTATTATTATTTCTATGTGTTATTACTATTACTAAAGTTCATATTAACTTGTTGTCGGTTTACTTTCATACAGTATTCAGTATGCTTGATGTATTATTTGTATGGTATAAAATGAAATATTGAGTCTTCCAGTTATGTGACTTAAATTGTTTAACCAGTGAGAAGGACGCTCAGACCGTGATAGTGTAGTGTATACTGATGTAATGAGAGGTATGCTATTGATGTGCTTTAAAAAAAGGGCATACACGACAGTGTTATTTATCTCCAGTGGACGTATTCGGAAGCTTTTAAGCTATAGAAATGTACACTTATTGTGTTCAATAGTTTGTATTTAGTTTTTTACTGTTCAATAGATGTCCTGTTTGTAGAATTCTGTCGACAGAGGGTAACTGTTATCTTTTTTGATGGAGTATGAATTTCTCTCAGGATCAATTCTATTCAACTGATCGTTTTAGCACGGGAAGCACCAATCAAATAGGATTCAATGGAATTCTCAATCCCTCTAGTATTGAATTAAGGTATTTAAGCGAATAATATTGTTGTCAATTCGATCCTTTCTTCAGACTTTATTGATAAACAGCTAAACATGTGTAAAGATATGCTTTAAACAAAACGGATTATTCTTTGGGAAGACCGTATGAACGAGTAATCGTGGGACCCAATAGGCGAAGTTGAATGATTTATCTCTCATTTTCTTCAATATTTTCGACAGATAGAGCTGCATTTGTCGAATGACCACTTCAATTACTTAGGGGATTGTATCAGCCCGAATAGGCTGGTTGCTGACGAAGTTTTACCTGAAGTAGAAGACATGAAGTGGGTACAGAATCTTGATTATAGATGTCTTCGTAGCATTGCCCACGTTTGATAAATTCACCATGTGAGCGAAGTTGGTGTTAGTCGAAGGGTACTAGAAGGAGCCAGGAATTATATCGACTAGGTTGTGAGCTCTCATCGACAGAGATTGCTTGGATATTTGCTGCACATATCATCCAGCGCCTACCTCGACGAGCTATGTTAGGAGAAGGTGGATTAAGTTGACGTGACACCAGTGTATGAAGTCCCTGACTATTGACCGGAGCCGGGGTTCCGATGACGACAAGAATCAGTGGTTTACGGCAGTTGGTGACATGGTTGTAAATCGATCTCAGTGGCACAGATGTATTAACTATTTGACTTTCTCTAAAGCTTTTAATATTCACACTAACCTTTATATTTAAATTGCTTATGCTCTCACACGATTTTGTGTTCACTACAATAGGAAAGTTAACTACCCTTACAAAAATAAAAGTCAGACGTAGAGTTCTAGACAAAAGATGGAAGTCAGTTGATGGGGTCGTGAACTTTCATGAACTCAGAGATATCTGAGATATGTCTTAAGCAAGCCTAGTTACTGTTTCACATTATTGACTGAACTAAGTTCAGGATGAAAAACAGCAGTAGGTGGATCGATTAAAAACGTAACATCCGTTGCACGAACTCTTTAACTGTTTGTCTGGTTATGTATGTAGGCGTAAGCTTCAAGTTTAGAGTGAGCATGACAACACAAATCAGTAATTGGAGACTCTAGGTGATATGGCTTAGAATTGATCTTATTAACAGATATATTCGCACATTATCTTTATCATAATGAATTTCAGTATTTTCCCATTCCTCTTTTGATGACTTTCTACAATGTTTGTATGCGTTTTTTTTAATTATTTTTCATCTTGATCCATTCTTGTTTATCATGCCTGGTCCCGTGTTGATACTATCTGTCTGTCTATCTACTTTTACAAAGGTAAATGCGGAAGTTTGTAGGACGAGTAGTTTGTTTGAGAATCGGTGCTCATTCGGTTGCACGAAAACAATAGTCGGTCATAAGTTTCTTTGACCAGTATTCAGTGTGATTATTGTTACTGGATAACTGCTCACTTTGAAGAAGAATTTTTTCATAAACTCAAATTCATGTTCAAAACATCATAAATTTATGCATGTCACCGATAGCCTTCAACCATTCATTCCTGTTGTCTCGGAGACCCCAGACCGTTATTTCCCACCTCTCTACATGGCTCAGATCAACAGTCAGAGACTTTATCTACTGGTGCCACGTCTTGGTCTGGCCACGTTGAACCCTTTTCCAACCTAAACCAACTTCTCTTAGCATTTCACGTCGAGATAGGTAGTGACTAGACATACGCAATACATGTCAAAGCCACATCACTTGACTGAGGTTCACAACTTCATCAATCGACTTGCTTGTATTACTTAGTACCCTTCGCCTGACCTCCAGATTGCTCACATGGTGATTTCATCAAACGCAGACAATGTTACGAAGATACCTGTGATCAAAACTCTGTAATCGCATTATGTCTTCTACTTTTAACGGCCCCATGTCTCACAGTTGTACAAGAGGACAGAACAAACTGCAGTTAAGTGCACTCTTTTTTTGATCGATCGTCGGACGTTTCGCCAGTTGGCACCACAGATGACTCAGTTTTAAAAATGCAAAATGGGCGTTCTCTACTCTATCTGATGTAACTCCCCAAGTAAATGAAGTAGTTGACATAATCTACCACTTCACTCGCTATCATTAAACTGGGAGTAGCGACACACCAGTCCTGGAGCATCATCTTACATTGGACAAGTGCTAACCTCAATCCAAACATACTCAGATTTCTGCTTAATTCACTGAGAAGCCCCTGAATTTTGTCAGCGTCAATATCATCTGCGTATTCCAAGTCAATCGGATGACCTCGAGGTACGAAGAAGATCAATCCCTGTGAAGTCAGACGTACTTAAAGTTATGTCGATTAATACATCTATAACGAAGTTAAACTGGAACGGTGACAGTGAGCACTGCTGCCTCACACCAGTAGTTGTCTTCATCTCAGATGACAACTCTCCATAAACCCTTCGTGGCTGCCTGATTTTCAGGAGAAAGCTATGACTAGTGTTACTTACTTGCTCGATATGTTCAATCTCACTCTTCAAACTGCTCGTTTAATTTTTCTTTTCAGTGTATCGTTGTTGAAAAATATGACAATATGAGCTGATAAACAATTCTGCCGGATTCTATGAGTCTCTTATAGACCACCAATCTAACTCAGATGTGTCTGAGTTGGTAATCCTGTCATCAGCATTCTGTAATAACTACAGGAAAATTTGACCGGTGAAAAGTTGAATATCGAGCCAAGTCCTAGTGAAACCTACCGGCTCACTCCAAATACGCATTCAGCTACCCTGTGCACATCCGCGTAGTACGCAATGAATTACATCTACTGTGTGAGGGCTAGTGATTCTACCTGGCTTCCCAAACCTCGGTAGGTGGAATAGAGTTCGAAACCATAATATCATATCAAAAAGTTGATTGAAAAGTTAGATAAGCAAGTTGCCATCCAGTAATGGTAAATGGAACAAATCAGATTACATTATTGATCATGGATACAATAATAACAAAACGAGATTAAATGTTAAGGTCATCAATAACTAAACCAGTCAGTTCAAGGTGAGGGTATAAAGGTGTGCACATGTGTTACTTGACATGAACAAGTGTGATAAAAGCAGTTTGAATGATAAATTCTGTTTTGTTTGTTGATTTACTTATGTACTTTATCAATGGTCAGTATGTAAAACATGTAACTTGGATACATTATCTACATTAATCGGATTGTAAGATCTTCCTTACTGTTAAGTATAATAGGGTTCAAAGTAATCTTGAATGTCTCTGCTATTCATCTTTTCAGATAGTTTGATAATCTGTTTTAACGAAATATACTTATTTATTCATGAATAAGAACAAGACATGTATTAGCTAAGAAGAAACATTTCCTTTCAACAACTTCATTATCAAACTGGACAGTCGTATTTATACGTGGTAAAGGGACAGATAATTGCACTAAGAAGAGTTGCTCAGTCAATGTACACAGAAGGTGTTGATAGTGGTATTCGTTCAAGTGGAAGAAATTGAAAATGGGTCACTGAATATGGAACGAATTGATAACAAGTAGTGAGATAAGAGACACGTGTTGTCAAAACATTGTAAAACGGTGATAATTAATCTGAAACATGCAAAATATGTCTATGAATAAGGAATGAATTGATATTAAATAGTGATGTATGGGTTAAATGTTGTCAATGAAATGAAAATTGGTGGTAATAAAAGAGAAGTATGCCAAGGTGAAATGAAATGAAATTGACAAGATTATTATTATTATTGTTATTTGTCCCTTGAGAACATAGGGCTTCAGTAGCACGTCTCCAGTACACTCTCTTGTCTACAAACTTCTGAACCTGGTTCCACGACAGCCCACAACCTCTCATTTCTTCCTCACACCATCTCCTCAGTGTCACCCTCACCTCGGACGCCTAACTCGTCGTTTCCCATCTAGGTTCCACTCGAGGGCCTGGCGCATGACGTCCCCAGTCGGCCTTCTCAGTGTATGCCCAATCCATCCCCATCTCCACTTCTTTCTGCATATTTGTTGAGTGATAGCTTCTTGGTTGATTCGTCACCAGCTAGAGTTCCTTGTTGTTTATTCTTTCTGGCCTTCTCATCTGATCTTCAGTAACGAGCTAGTGTAGTCAGTTGTTGATGAATGTCTGTAGTTTGTTGGGAATGCCTTTCGTATTTGGCCAAGTTTCTGAACCATATAGCATCACTGATTTGACTGGATTGGTGTTGAAAATCCGGATGTTATTCCCGCTTCATGCTGAGTGCAGTGCAGATCTCCACACTGGTTTCAGGTTAATGAACGCCTGTCTTTCTGATTCTGGCTGGCTTTGACGTCGTCGTCTGTACCACCGCCTGTAATTGAAACAGTGCTGCCTAGAAGAGGCTACTTCCTTCTCCTGTTGATGGTGTTTGTTGTTGGTTGGGTATCTTCATCACCTCTTTCTTCTCTAGGTCCACTTGGAGTCCTGTCTTCGCTGCTTCTTCTGTCAACTTGCTGGTTTTCGCCTGTAGATCTTCAAGTTTGTGTGACACACGTCCTAGTAGACTAGAAATGAAACACTTCTCAACACATTCAATCTTGAATTTATCACTAGTATGGATGCTACTAAGAATAAATAAACATTATCCTAACAGCGGTCAAACACATTTTTAAGGTCAAAGTTTGACTATGTTGCTACAAAAGTTAAGGATTAAGGGGACTAATAAAATACTTCGGTTCTCAATCTGTGATGCAACTTCTCCAGCGAATGCTAAGTCTCTAGAGTGTCTCAGATTTGTGTCGATGACACTATGGAGGACAGATAGCTTCACAAAGACTTGATCTAACCACCTCACCCATTGATAGATGTCATACATCTGAAAGTCTGTATTACCACTATACCTCCACTCATTTAGCAGACTATGTAGATTTGTTGTTCAAAAATTACTCCTATTACTTTATCAG